TCCTGCCGCTGTGTCGTCCTGGCCATGACGGCGGTGGAGCTCAGGATCGGGCCGCTGGACTGGCCAATGGATGATGAGGTTGAGGACGAGAGCCCGGGGGTGGGAGATGAGGATGGCACGGACGAGGACTGGGTTCTCGATATGGAGAGGAAGGGAAGGAGAAAGCGGAATAGGTCCGCGCCTCGGAGCCGCCCGAGACCCAAGCGGCTGCGCTCCGCTCCGGCGGTGGCGCCCGAGTCGGCGTCGCCCACGAGGTCGCCGTCGGAGCCGTGCCCGGGGACCGCCGAGCCTTCGCCAGAAGAGGGCTTCAATGCTGCTGCGACGGCGACGGCGACGGCGGCGGCGGCGGCGGCGGTGGTGGCGGAGGGAGTCAAGGAGGAAGACGGGTTGAGGAAGGAGGAAGGGGAGAACGTGTTTGCTCCGAGCACCAGTGGCAGAGGCGGCGGTGGGAGGAAGCCTAGGAGGTCGTGCCACCAGTGCAAGACGGTTAGTCATCCGGAGGAGACGATGATGATCAGGTGCCAGCGCTGTGTCACGAACAGGTAAATGTGGACCCCTTCGTTGCCACAACCGCGCACTGTTTTGTTCTTTCTAGGAATGGTCAGCAAGCTTTGTGATTCTGCAGGTACACGATGATGTCAGTGGATGATGTGAGAGAGCAGCGCCCCTTCTGCCGTGGACTCTGCACCTGTACCCCATGCCTTAACAAGGATAAGCAGCTTCGACCCGAGGTGATCGCCTTCTGAGTCCACCGCTCTATCTAGTACATAAATACATCTGCAGCTCAGCATGATTTGAAGCAATTTTGTTTCTGAATTTCCTGTGGTTTCGTGTTTAGAGAGCATTGTTCTTTGTTTTTGTGTTCCATTCTGTTAGATTGCCGTAATGAACTCTGTCACAGGTTGAGGACTTTTTTTTTAAAAATTACCAGACGTGGCCTCTTGTAATATAAGCTGAAAGTATATCATAGTTGGCTGAGTTCTGAGAGTGTTTATTTTCTCCCCTTGTAGAGCTTGGTTTTCAGGAAATGCAATAGCAATGGATCATCTACAAGGAAAAAGAGGTCCACTTCTGCAGGTGTGAAATCACCCCAGGCTCGTAATGCAGAACCATGTATATCAGATGTGACGACAAATAGGATGAATAATGTGTCTGCCATGTCGGCTGAGGAGGTTGATCCTGAAACAAAACGCAAATATGCCAGCTACCTGTTGCACTACCTGTTGCCATGTTTGACACAACTGAACAAGGACCAGATGGAAGAAAGAGAAGCAGAAGCCAAAATTCAAGGTATAACGGATTCTTATTAAATGACTTACCAGTTATTTGTGGCTTTGAACTGTTTTTTAATATTATCCCCTTCTTTTCTCCAAACAGGATTGCAATTGTCGGAATTGATTGTTGAGAAAGCTGTCTCCTGGAATGATGAGAGGGTGTTCTGGTATGGGACACTTTCAGTTATTATGAATAATTTTGTATGTTTCTTGCTTATAGTTTTTGGTATTGTAAGTCTTTAAACTGTCATCTCCTTTCCATGTGAACCAGTAACAATTGCAGTACGTCAATATTTGATCTACATAGAAGCTGCTCAAACTGCTCGTTCGAGCTATGCATCACCTGTTGTAAGGAGCTCCGAGGACACTGTCTTAATATCAATTGTCAAGAGGGACTGGTACCTAAGGATATAACTAGAGGAGTTGACTATATGCATGGCGGTGATTGTGACCCACCTAAAAATTCAGAAAATGACAGAGAAACAGGTTTGCCTAGTTACCAATCTAAGTCTATCAAGTGGGAAGCTGATCCTGGTGGGACCATTCGTTGCCCTCCATCTGAACTTGGTGGGTGTGGTAACCATGTCCTTGAGTTGAAACAAATTTTTGAAACAGATAGGATAAGTAAGCTCGAAATGAAGGCATTGCGACTGAGGAACCAGATAGGACCTTCTGATATTATCAGTATAGATATATGTGAATGCTCATGTTCAGCTAATCATGCAAGTTCAAGGAAAGCTGCCACCAGAGAGAACTCCACAGATAACTACATATACTGTCCAATATCAGATGATGGTAAGCCAGATGGTCTCAAGCACTTCCAAAAGCACTGGGTGAAAGGAGAGCCTGTAATAGTGCAAGGGGTGCATGATAAAATGTCTGATTTTTGCTTTCAAAAAAATAAAATGCCTGGTTTGAGCTGGGAGCCTGAAAAAATGTGGGCTGAAGTACATGGTGCCAATACTGGTTCTGAGATGAAAACTGTGAAAACCGTTGATTGTATGTCTTGCTGTGAGGTTAGTAAAATACATGCCTATGACCGTAAAACTATGCTATACTTCTATGCAGTTTAATTCTTTATATCGAGGCTGAATTAGTGGACTGATAGACTCTGACCAGTGCGGTCTTTTATTTTCAGTGTAAAATGATTAAGTTAGAAATCTTATCTCTGTTTATATATGCAGGTTGAGATATGCGCTGAGGACTTTTTCAATGGGTATTATCATGGTCGGATGTATCTTAATGGTTGGCCTGAAATGCTTAAATTGAAGGATTGGCCTACTTCAGACCATTTTGAAAATATTTTGCCTTCCCATGGAAAGACATACATCAATTGTTTGCCTTTTCAACCTTACACAAATTTGAAATCTGGTTTGCTAAATGTCTCTGCATTGCTTCCTGGTGACATCTTAAAGCTTGACATGGGCCCAAAATCATATATAGCTTATGGCTATGCACAGGAACTCATTAGAGGAGATTCTGTTACAAAGCTTCATTGTGATTTGTCTGATGCGGTAAGTAAATAACTGAGAACAACTTATCTAGTGGACATAATTATATTATACTGAACTGTGTCCATGAAGTCCTTGATTTTTTTCTTTGTTCAGAAAAAAATCTTTCCAATTATACCTTTTTTCCCGGTGACTTTGTTGTTGTTGTTGTTACCAGAGAATTCTATGGATCCAACAGTAACCCCAATAGAGACTATCTCACCTGTTACCATTGGTTGATGATACAAGAAAACTTCAGCATACTCTTATGCTATCCATAGAGAATGCTTAGCATCTTGTTGTGCTCTTCTTTTCTTTAACTCTAATATAATTTTGGCCATCGTTAGGTTAATGTTTTGATGCATATTGCCAAAGTTGAGCCTTCTGAAGAACAAAAGGAGGGGATAAGAAATTTGAAATTAAGGCATGCAGAACAGGATAAAAAGGAATGTTTGGGGAATTCATCAATAGATGGAAATGAAACAAGCATGGAGCATGCTCATATATCATCAGTTTCCTGCGAGGATGATGAAGCAGGTGCACTATGGGATATTTTCAGGAGGGAGGATGTTGGAAAGCTGAAAGAGTACCTCATAAAACATTCCAAAGAATTTCGCCATATGTACTGTTGTCCAGTTGAAAAGGTTAATCTTAATCTTATCTATGAATGAGCTTGGTAAAAACCGTAGACGTTTATCTCTTTGTGACACTTGTTTTTAATGCAGATATTTAACCCTGTACATGAGGAAAAATTTTATCTGACTAACAAACACAAGAGGGAGCTCAAGAAGGAGTATGGTGAGTTGGTCCATCTATTCGTGTTTATTAATCCTTTGGTGTGAGTAGTTGAGCGTTCAGTACTCAAAATTTTGATGTGCTGTTGTAGGAATCGAGCCATGGACCTTTGTGCAAAGACTTGGAGATGCGGTTTTTATACCTGCTGGGTGTCCTCATCAAGTACGGAATCTAAAGGTAAGCTTGCCAATGCACTCTTACATATCCCAAGTTTCAAATGCAGCAGATAGATGAGGGCTAGGAGAAATTCTACTCAATTTTGACATGTTCTGGCTGAATGTGTAATGACTGCAGTCTTGCACCAAGATTGCTCTGGATTTTGTATCACCGGAGAACATTCAGCAGTGTCTCAGCTTAACCGAGGATTTCCGGAGACTTCCAGTGGGCCACAGGGCAAAAGAAGATAAACTAGAGGTATGAACTTTTAATGCACATCCATCTTGAACTTATCCTTTTATTAGCTCGTTAGTATCAGTGACAGACCATCATAGGACATACACAGAGATAAGCTCACATGGTCGATCACCATTGCTTCAGCATTTCAGGGCCATTTATAATCTAAGAAAACGTAAGGACCCAAATACATCACAGCATAGCATGCATGCCATGCATTTAATAAATAACACAAATGCATCGTTTTTGTGGATTGCAAAACAACATACAGTTTGCATAGAAGTTTAGTGTTTGAGGCCAAATAGGAGTGTCTGTCCAGTAACCAAGGCCTGCGGACACCCAACAAGCTTTGCCTCTGCCAGAAATTTATTTTTTCTTTGAGGACACCATGTAAATTAGTTCAAGATATGTTGCTACGAGCTTCAGTAGTGATGCCACACCCTTGAGCTTCCATGGATTCACTTTCCCTCTCATGTGGTCATAGATGTGATGTCTACTCGGTGAGTAGGCACCACGACCATGCGATGCTGTTTGTAATGGTGAAGATTCAAATCTACTTTGGTGGCAGTGGTCCATGAGAATGTCAAGATGGCATTGAGGATGCCCTATGGCTATTCACGACCGTTGCCGGCAACGAGATCAAATTGCGGACGTGAGTAAAACTAGAGGAAAAAGATGTTGACCCCTTGCTCGATTACTTGTTTCTAGATATCTTCCAATAATGCAGATTAACTTTTAGCATTAAACATACCAGAATAGGCACTGAAAAACCTTTTCTCACGTCTACAAGGACTAAACCACTTCGATTCCATGAAGTATTTGTCAGAAAAAAAATGAACCACTTCCATATCACTGTTTCTTGGGTGATGGTGCCAATTCAGCTACCACATGTCAAGCACTACCCTTTTTCCTCTTTTCATCAAAGGCTACGAGGTTCGCATGGTCACATTTTATCTCCTGGCCAGCACATGCTTCATAAAATACAAGGATGAAATTATCCTTACTGTGTTGGTTAAGATATTGTGGGGAGAAGTGAGCTGCCACAGACTCAGCAGAGCGCAACATCAATGCCAAAACCAGCACCAACTTCATTCAGTAACTTATTGAACCCATGATTTGCGGCAACCATACCAACCTCCGGATATCGTGATGAATCACCAACATGAGTAAGCACCTTATCATCACCTAGCCGAACAATTAGCTTGTTCTTCACATCATCCAGATATGCTTTACCAAAGGCTTATTACTGCATAAACTGTCATATGTCAGAATTGGAGGTGTCAGTTCCTCATGCACACCAAAATTTGTTGGCATCACATCCACTGGATCCATGCAAAGGACCAAGATAAAGGGATTATCTCTATCAATAATGATATGATCTTCCATGTCTGCCTTGGCCATCTGTTTGCTGTTTCGATCTACCAAATACTCTCCAAATTGAGTGACTTGTTGCAGATAACCACCATGCAAATCAAAGCAGTGCAATGAGTCATCCCACACAACCTCTACATGAAATATTTCATCAAATAACTTGAGGGCATCACACTCGGACAGCACCGATGCCTTGAAATCGACTAGCTTGTGCTGTATATGTTCAAGCATTTGGTCTGCAACATCCATGCCGCTCCTACAATAACTGAAAACTACCAATAACAGCGAGCCATGTCATCTTCAATAAGCTTCATCCATCAATTTTTTCTTCTCATTCTCTATAATCCTTTGTGCCTATGGCTTGCTGCTGTAGTAAACTACCATGTGTCTCAATATTATTATAGGATGTGCTCAGTCCACACAATTTCACTGGGCATTTCACCAGACAACCCATCCCTAGAATCTATGCCAAAGTGGAACATTCATGTACTCTTTGCCCAATGCTAAATGCTGCAGTAATCCTTCATACACAGCAAGGTTGACATGTTGTCCCACACCAAATGCTCACAAGTCATTTCATCAAGAAGCACTTGTACAACATTGTCTCTATGCTTTTCTTTTGCTGCCACCTTCTCAAGAGAGATTTCAACAAACAACTCGTATGCAACATCCCTACCCAGTTGAAGAGACTGTGGGTGTTGTTTGATTTGAGAACATATGATCATAGCTGGCTCAGCAACTAGAATGCTTTTCTAACCACCCCAGTACTAACTAAACTCTGCTACTTGCTGCAATAGACCGTCCTGCAAGTTTAGGCCATGCAAAGCTCCTCATCCTTGTGCAGCTCCTCAAGATGCCCCTGCAGCCCAGAACGTGATTTGCTTAGCTTGTGTCGCCGTGGGGGCATTTGCTTGAACACCTCGTAGGCATTCTTCTCAAACACAACCGATATCCTAGTAACCACTTGCTCAAGCCACACCTGGGTCACATCCTGCGCCATGTTGGTCCATAGATTCCTGAAGGACGCTGATGCTGTCACCTTCACCTCCTAGAAACCACTTGCTCAAGCCACACCTGGGCCACATCCTGCGCCATGGTGGTCCATAGATTCCTGAATGACGCTGACGCTGTCACCTTCACCTCCATTGCCACCAAGCCATTGAGAAATCTGAAACCATCGCCACCTGTGCCATCGACACTCTGAGTTTGCCGCTGCCTGTTCCGTCAAGAACTCCCCGTCTGCTGTCACCCTCGATGAGGAAGGTAGCCTTTGATAATCCAAAATCCCCAATCGCCCACGCCAAATCAAGCCGATATGTAGGTCGGTGATGCACAGCCATCTACCACCGCACGGCACCGAAAAATTCCACCATGGCATGCTGCCGGTACCGACACTGAGGATTGTTGTCTCTGATACCACCTATCACACCTGTTGCGGGCAACGAGATCAAATCGACACTCCTTACCCAATTACTTGTTTCTGAATATCTTCTGCCCTTCTGCTCAAGACACGGCATTGGTTTTTATGTATTCTCTTCACACACTTACATGTGGACCCTTTCACGCTCAATAAGCCAACAAAATTTGCAGTCGTTATTGGGCATGGGATCTCGATCGAGGAGGAGCGTTGGTGTGGTAGAACCGTCCGAAATAACACGCTTTTGGAGACACTCATCTTCCACTAGACACTAAGCACCTCGAAAGTTAGCTACATCGAATAGTTCCGTCAAGCACACCCCACGGGAGAACTCGAATCAATTCACGTTTTACCTCCAGAATCCAATAATGAGTACGAGTTTACAATACTTAGTCCATTTCATACAACAAGAGATCTTGTAAATTATTTATTACAATATCAGGGTTCAGAGTGCGATAATTAAACAGCGGAATGAAAATAAACATCTAGTGGAAACGATACAAGGATCTGTCTATGCCCACTAGAAGAATCCTCCACACAAGAGTTACTCCTCAAGCTGCACCTACAACAGGGTAAAATAAACCATGAGTACACAATGTACTCGCAAGACTTACCCGACTAGTGGGAATAGTTTCCCGACTCCAAGGAGTATGATAGGTAATATGGGTTAGCTGTTTTCTTTTTATTTGCGAAAAGCATTACTAGAAGTACGTCCTTAAAATCATATTTTATTAGCAGTCATGATTACTTCATTAGCTAACCATTCTAGGTAAGCACCTGTTAAAATCATGTTTTATTAGCAGTTATGATTACTTCATTAGCTAACCATTCTAGGTAAGCACCTGTTCTACCTTCAAGCAAGGGTTGAGCAATCAGAACCATTTTATCATCTTTCATATTTCATTTCTTACTATGGTACTAGACCATAGCCAAGTCGTACCGTCTCACAGAAACGGTGATTCGTGAACCAATGTATCATAGCTGGATACCCCAAAACACACGCCCCATTTGTACCCCAGTCACAAATAAGACCAACCCATTCCGCTCCTGTCACGGGGTCTAGGTCTCTATCGAAACTTGGACTCCAAGCCCCCCACGCTTGAGACCCGGCCTTAATATGGTGCTTAGACCACCTTTCCCCGCCCCCAATCAATCGGTCCGGAAAGTGCCGGAACCCATGACAAGAGTGTAACGAGCCTTTCCGCTCCCATAAGCAAGTATGTGCTCAGGATAATAAGTCTGTGACCTGACTACCATCCACAGCAACGGACAGTCCTCAATTGACATGGACAGTGAAAACAGTGTAACCAAGCTAAGCCCTGTGGCTGCGGGACAACTCGTCACACCCACCAATACCCATACCATATCTCTGTCCGATCTCCATTTTTCTTTCATCATTTTATCATGAGAGTATTGATATTAATCACCCATTGTGAGTAACGGCAGGTTACTCATGCTACCGAAAACCTAAGCATAACAGCTACTCGAACCTATACTAGTAGGACTCATAGGTAGATATATCTATGCATGTGGTTTTCATAAAATTTCTATAACGTAAATGCATGTTATATATATATATATATGTTATGCATCGGGGTTTACCTTGGGCAGGCGCGGTGTCAACTGAGTCAGTCAGTGGCTCCGGGACCACCTCCCGCACGAGAATCTCCTCCTCGTACTCCTCGACGATCTCCTCGAACTCGTGCTCACCGGTGGTCACGATCTCCGTCGACTCGTTCTCTATATGCATACGATGACGATGATGTATCTATTTAGTATTTAGGCAACAACAATTCTTAAAATAAGGACACATATGCCATACTAACAAGTTAGCTCTAATGACTAAGATATTAAGCTAACCATAAGCTCTATCAAATCAAGTGTGAAGCTCATCCTAACAAGTGCTTAATTTCATAAGTCAATATTATTCTCTTATTCATATTAAGGTTTAATGGATATTTAACTACCCTAATAAATAGTCTATCTTAGGATTACAAAAATTATAGTAAGCACATAATAATACAATGGAGCTACTGTGAAAATTTCAAGATTAAAGCTATCACTAATTTACCACAAAAAATTCTACAATAATTACCCTAATAATATTAAACACTTTTAAACGATTTAATAGCCCTTAGTACCAACACAGATATGTATGACTAACTATACCAGTAGATAGACAATAATTTTAGGAATCTAACAAAAATTAGTTTCACAAATTTTGACACCTATACGATTTTATATTAATTATACAAATCTAGCTCAGAAATTAAAATAGAAAGCTATTACTAATTCCTTAAGAAAAAAGAAAAGCGAATTCGACCGCACGACCCATAAACGTGCGGCCCGCTCGAGCGCGGCCCACGCTCGAGGCGGCCCACGATGGGGAAAGCCCGCGCGCGTCGGCGTTTTTGCAAGTCCCGATTTTCTTCCGAATCACAACTAAGTACTAACACTATTTCCCCCTCTCACAGGCCTTCTCACTTAACCCCCCGATCTTTCCCTAATTCACCCGCGCACACCCTCGACGCGGCGAGCGGCGGCACTGGGCGCCTACGCCGGTCACCTGGGACCTACGCGGTCCCACCTAACGGGTCGATCACCATCTTCGATCTTGGTGGCTACGCTAAGCGGCGGTGAGGGGCGGCGGGACTTGCTGGGGAAGGCTACAGCGGCGTGTGGCCGATGATGACGCAACTGTTCCGGTGAGCTCGGGTGTCTAGAAGCCTAACCAGCTAACGTGCGAGCAACATGGGCTCACCGTGGACCTGGCCGAGGTGACAGTTGGAGTTGAGGATGGCGGAGGAGGGCTGGCCACGTGCGATCAAGCGGCATGGCGGCGCATCGCGGCGGACATGACCGCGTCAGCAGCGCCAGGTTAGCGGTAGAGGTACGACTAAGGAGCGCAGGGTGACGTAGAGGTGGAAGCGAAGCTAGTGGTGCACTTGGATTCGATCGGGGTGGACAAATGGAGGACTGCCCACAATAATGGCCGAGCTTGGCCTTATCGGCACGGCGGCGGGGAAAAACTCCAAATTGGAGCTTGGCCATGCTCGCTTCAAGGCTGGGTGGGGTTGGGTGGCTAAGGGGGTTAATGGCGGAGCTAGGGCGCGACGAATCGGGCGATGGTGACCTTTCTCTAATGGGTTTAATGAACAACATTGCATCGGGTAAAAATGACAAGGTGGGGAGGGAGGTCAGCCTGCACTCGGCGCGACGTAGTTAAAGACGATGGCTGCTGGGGGGGTACGGCAGTCGCGGTGGCTTGGGCGCATGTGGGAACACCGCAGCTGCGAGCACGGCCATGGGCCGGGCAACAAGTGTTCCATGTGCGCGCGCGTGACCGTGGCAACGCCAACATACAGGGCCAGGCAGCGGCGCAGAGCTACAGGGGCGTGGACGCGATGGCGAGGCGACGGCGATGGCAACCGGGACAAGCCCACGCGCGTGCAGGAGAGGAGGACAGCAATAGCACCACAGCACGAGGCGAGAAGGGCGGCAGCGGTGTTAGCAGCGAGGTGGGGTAGCAGCGCGACGGCCAGCAGCTGTAGGGCGATGACAGCGGCCCGCTGGGGTCGGCCACGGCCAACCCACGGCCAAACAGGCCGAACGGGCTCGGCACCGCGGCGCGCGGGACGCGGCCAGCCGCGCGACGCCGAGCGGCCGCACGAGGTGACCGTGTACACAGGCCAGGCATATGACGTGCATGAATTTTAAAGCGCGTCTAAAAACTAACCTAACACAGTTGAAGCTAAATTACCTCGACCATGCTAAAGAGGGTAAATCAGTCTACCATAAGGAGCAAAAACACAACATTCACCTTTAGCTAGAT